CAAAACCCCAAAACCCCAAAACCCCAAGAGTATAAAATAGTTAAAAAATGGAAAAAAATAATTAATAAATAAATAATAATCATTTTCCAAATAAATTGAAGTTCTGTTTAATACGGTAATTAAATGGGTCTTATTTCACTTCAAAAAGACTTAGCTTCATCATATCTACTATAGAGCAACTCATCGGTTTCTGAATTTCTAGAATCATATATTGAATTTCTGCCATCATCATCTTGCTAGAAACTCTTAACTGAAAGTCTAGAATTTTTCAATACTTCCCCAATTCTTGATTGAAATATTGAGAACTTTTGAATAGCTAAAGTAATATTCCTTATATTTAATCACTTACGTAGAACATTATAAAGGTTAAAGAAATCTTCAGGTGCTTTCAAAGCAGTCCATAGTGCAATAGGTACAAATTCAGAAACACCAAAAGCCAAGAAATTCACTATTTAATAGACTTTGAAATGCTAAATAAGGTCTGTATTTTTATCAAAATCATCCAGTTAATCTAAGCACTTGATTATAACTTTGAGTATAAAACTTATAACAATTCCTGCAATAATACAAAATGTCTATATTAAATGGTATTTTAACAAGATATATAACTAACTTCTTATTTCTGATTGGTCCAGCAAACACTTCTATGAGAAGAGGCTTAATGAATAAATACTAAACTGATGAAAAATTAAGCTAAAATCATGAATGAATAGAGTGAAATGTCAATGTATCTAAAAATATAAGCAAGTAATGTTTTACTTTTGAGCATCTTCACCACAATCTTAAGATTATACAACTAATGAAATAAGATATTTTGATTGAATAATTTACTTGCATTTGCCAAAAGCATAGCTAATATGATTGTTAACAATAAGATTAGAAGGACAACTAGCTTTCTTTCAAATCTATTAAACTTCAACTTTTAAGTGTCTTAATTCTCATAAATGGAAGGCTACTGAAATTTTATCATGAATGAGACATCAAGCCTTTATTTAAATAAAAACGTGATTATACCATAAAAATAGCTCAATAACAATAGCAGAACAAAAGCAAAAATCTGCAAGATAACAGAATACGACTACCAAGATATAGTTCTTATCGATACTATTCTAGTCATTCTAGACTATAAGGGTACTTTCAATTGAGATACCTCGAACTATTTTGATTAAAACACTAGCTAAATTACATAATAAGGTTGATCCAAATAGAATTTGAATAGATGTAGTCAAATAATCTCTTCTCTTATAATTGAAGATAATTTTGCACAAACTGTATAGAACATACATAAATAATAGTAAGCAAAGACTCATCTTGAATGAAATGAGTAGCTGCATTTGATGCAATAGTTCGTCATCTGTAATTTAGGTGATAGTATTGTCAGAGAGTGTTGAATGATATGAGTAACTGATTGTTGTTAAAATATACATCTATTTGCATATTTGTTGATTTATTAGACTCATTTATTTGTCAAAATATTAAAATTTATAGAATATAAATCCATATGATCATTCATTTTTTACTATAATTGGGAAATGGGGTTTTGGGGTTTTGGGGTTTTG